TTTAGCATGCCATCATCCCCAGGCGGCTTTCATTTATGTCAACCGTGCTGCAGTTTGATTGCCCATTGTTACCGAGGCTGATTGAATCATCCATGGAAGTCCAACATTCCTTTCTTATTTCTTAGTTCTAGTAGAAGAGCATATTCCTGCCATCTCATTTATGTCCACATCATGTTATTGTACACAAAAGGTCCGTATAGTTAAAGCTATGGTTTTCCCAGTAGTGATGTATGGAAGTGAGAGCTGGACCATAAAGAAGGCTGATCGCTGAAGAATTGATGCTTTTGAATTATGGTGCTGGAGGAGACTCTTGAGAGTCCCATGGACTGCAAGAAGATCAAACCTATCCATTCTGAAGGAAATCAGCCTTGAGTGCTCACTGGAAGGACAGATCCTGAAGCTGAGGCTCCAATACTTTGGCCACCTCATGAGAAGAGAAGACTCCCTGGAAAAGACCCTGATGTTGGGAAAGATGGAGGCACAAGGAGAAGGGGACAACAGAGGACGAGATAGTTGGATAGTGTTCTCGAAGCTACCGGCATGAGTCTGACCAAACTGTGGGAGGCAGCGGAAGATAGAAGTGCCTGGCGTGCTCTGGTCCATGGGGTCATGAAGAGTTGGACATGACTAAACGATAGTTTTCATCAAACTATCCACTGCAACACCAAAGTCTCATTCTTGGTCAGTTACTGTAACTACAGACTCCATGTGTGCATATATGTGAAATTTAGACATTCTTTCGCCCCCCCCTCAATGTGCACTACTTTATACTTGCTTACACTGAACTGCATTTGCCATTTTACTGCCCATTCACTCTGTTTGGAGACATCCTTTTGGAACTCTTCACAGTCCCTTTTTGTTTTAACCACTTGCAACAATTTGATATATTTGATATCATCAGCAAACCTGACTGCCCATTCCTAACTGTAGACCATTTATGAATCAATCACTTTCATCTGCTCCTAAGTGACAGATTAATTATTTTGATGAGTAACAGATAGTGTCTCCACTTTTATGATGCATTGTTCATAAGGCAAATATTCTGTGATGATAACTATCTATTACTGCAGAAAACCAGCTTTTTGGCTTTACACTCAATAGCAGTTGTGAAGAACCTATCTGCCTAGTTAGAACACAGAAACATTTAGCCCGCAGCTCTTAAATTCTACTAAAAATTGAAAAAAGTCACTATAAAATATTCTGGCTGAACCTGGCATTTCCTGCAAACTGGAAGTGAGCAGGTATCACCTGTTACATGCCATCTGTAGTCTAATCCAAACACTTAGAGTTTGACGCTCATTCCAGTGGAAGACTGGCTCTGGCAGTACAATGAGATACATGCAAAAGGATACATAGTTGCTCCTCACATTGAAGGGGGTAAAATGAGAAGCCTTTTCTTAGGGAATGCACGCGGGGCTCTCAATTGTGCAGCAACATATCTTCTTAGCATCGTTTGGTCTAAGTCTCTCCAACTGAAACAATCAGGAACACCCATAAAACAATTGGGTAGGTTTAGGGGAGAGAAGGAATGAAGAGTGCTGCTTGTTGCATAGACTCACAGAATTGTAGAGTTGGAAGGGACCACAAAGCCCACCTAGTCTAACCCCCTTGCAATGCAGGAATCCTTTGCCCAATGTGGGGTTCCAACCCATGATCCTGAGATGAAGAGTCATGCTCTACCAACTGAGCTATCATTCCCACTCGCCTGTAGACCAGAAATTCACTTGAAAGCATGGACCTCTGTACAACCTGGAAGGGCGGGGTATAAATAAAAATTTATTTATTTATTTATTTATTTATTTATTATTACAAAATGCCAGAATAGTTAAAATGATGCAGCTGGTTGACTCATGGGCCCGCTGCCAATTCCCTCTAGAGCAGGGGTGGAAAACTTTTGGGCCTCCAGGTGTTGCTGAACTACATCTCTTATCAACCCGAGCAACCATGGCCAATAGTCACGTGGTCCAACAACACCTGGAGTGCCCAAAGTTATCCACCCATGTTCTAGAAAGAAATATATCGAAGCGCTGTCCCTCTGCAGATCTCTTCTGGCTCCTTCATGCAGTATCTATGGGACTTTGGGGCCAGGTGCATCTAATATTATCGACAGGTGTGCTTCAGGTGTATCCAGTAGAAAAGGCAGGCATATCCATTAAAAGATGTATGGACGCTCCAGGAATATTCAACAGCAAGGGCAGGGGCAGAGCTTTGCCTAATGGAACAGGGAAGAGTGAGCTAATTTTGTCTCGCTTGAAACTCAATTGCACCCAGCTGTGGCGGAAGTGATGCGCTTTGCATTTCTACTAGTAAAACTAATCTGCTAGCTTGGGCAGCACAAATGTTATAAGTCCTTTTAGACCAATTTAATTGCCCTAGGGTGAACACATCCTCAGATGCTACAAGGCATGTTTCTGCCACCTCAGCAAGGAGTAATGTGAAACCTTGGCATAGGACACGCATGCTATGAATCATGCTGTCCTGAAGACCTAGGAAAAATATTGCTGGTGTAAGCAACACAAATAAATCCCACAGCACTCTTAAGAGTCCCGCAGTGACATTCTGAGTCCCTTCAGCTCCCAGTGAAGTTAACAGAGCACTCCCAATGCTTGGAAGTTCACGAGCATCTCTTAGAACAAGGCCTTTAACTCTGCTAGGGACAGCATTATTTCACTGTGCAATTACACACCCAGGCAAGGAGGTTAATACAAACTCATGTCAGGCTTGACAAAGCATTGTTTACAGTCAGAAGGAGCCGATTGCCCTGTTCAGAGATCCTGACCTTTGTCAACCAATCATAATTTTGCTCCTTAGAAAGGTTGGGATAGTTTCAAGCCCTGTCCTTTGGGAAACATAATTCTATCTAGATTGGAAAATGTTTCAGCTGTGACCATTGTTTTCTTAATGAAAGAAACATTGGGATGTACCACATGACATGTGGCGAAACATACAAGCTATAGCACTCAAACCTTAACCCTATGAGATTTTATAGCTAGAAAAATCTAGGTAGCTTTTCTTGTGAGTTAGGTAGTTTGTCTTGTATAAGTGCTGGTATACAACAGATAAGTTGTATGCATGTGTGCATGTATAGTGGTACCTCGGCTTACATACGCTTCAGGTTACAGACTCCGCTAACCCAGAAATAGTACCTCGGGTTAAGAACTTTGCTTTAGGATGAGAACAGAAATGAGATGGCAGCAGCGGGAGGCCCCATTAGCTAAAGTGGTGCTTCAGGTTAAGAACAGTTTCAGGTTAAGAATGGACCTCTGGAACTAATTAAGTACTTAACCCGAGGTACCACTGTATAACCAAAGCAACAGGCAGCTAGGACAGATTTCTGGGCAGGAACATGTAGAAGAGATGTCCATGTGCCATTTTCTGCAAAGGCTTGTGCTGTTTAGAATTAGGAACAGCCAGGGGATAGGGACCTGATGATATAGAAAGACAATAAAGATGGGGGTGGGGTGGGGGGAGACTGTGAATATCTATATCTGTAACCATGACTGCTAAAAATAATATTGGATTAAATTCAGCACTGAAAAAAAATAGTAGTACAAATTGGCCCTCAAGACTTCTTTGTGCAAAGCTATTTACTCAATGCAGGAAACTAAAACATATGGAGGTAGGCAGGCAGGAGGCAGGCAGGCAAAGTAAAACACCAGAAGCCTGCTTCTTCCCCAGCTGGACTTCCTCTTCCCCATCACAGGGCCATCTAAGGCCAACTGGCCTGCGATAAGGAATCCAGGAGCAAGAGTCATGCAAAATGCCTGGGTCTGTGCCAGCTGGACTTTCCCCTCCACTCAATAGGGGGCCATCTGACCCAACTGCCTTGTGGGAAATAACATCAGCTGTTAGCTCCTGCTCAAGCAGAGTGGGGCAGTCTTTGTTTACAAGTGCATGCTTCTAGCTGCATCAGTTTCATATTTGTAACAAATAAGGTCGGGTAGTTGGCTACTAGGGAACACCCCAGTGGTAGCAGCCCAGATAGTCTTGCTTGGTGCATATACTCTGGCTTTTGAAAAAATGGAACCAGGTGAATACTTTTTTCCTTTCCCCATGCCTTTCTTTCCCCAGGCTTTTAAATCTTAAAACTGTTTTGTTGTTTATAAATTTGTTGTTTCTGGAGTTTTAGAAATCTGTGAAATGTTTGGTGCTGCTGCTGATCTTTTATGCGATATTTAATTTTTTTTTAGGTTTTAATTTTGCATATAATTGTTTTATTGTAAGGCACCCAGAGAACGTTTGTCACTGAACAGAGTATAAATACTGTAAACAAATAAATGTGAGATGATTTGAGGACTGTAGTCATAAAGCAGCATATAAATCTACTAAACCGACAATAAATATTGCATGGCCCTCATTTCCCAGCTGCAAACAAGACACACCAATGGACATATTCTAGTAAGCTTTCAAACCCATAATCTGAGTTGTCTCTTGAATAAAGTCATCCAGACCTTCATACTTAATTCTTGTCATTGTTTTTTATTACTCAGCAGGAGTCCCTCAAGTCAGCACTGATATTCAGCAATCATCACTCAGCAGCTACTGTTCATCTTCACAAGAGACTGTCAAAACACTGCAGGGCGGGGGGTGGAATCAACAGGCTTCTGTATCTCCAGTAGCAATTAAGCTGCCAACCCTTCCTAATGAACCAAACATTGATTTAGCCCATCACTGAATAGCAGCAAGAATTTGCTACCTACAGTAAATAAGATCAGCACAGTCTTAAAGTAAAATAAAATAAATATGGCTTCTTATTATAAATATTCCTCTCCATCACCCGCATGCCAAGTTAGATCACTGCAACGAGAGCTGCAGTCGTTAGATTACAGGAAGCTACCAGTTGCATACCAAGTCCTATAAGCTGCAAGCTTGCACCCCTTTTTTGCACTTGCGCATCCTTTCAGCGTTTGATTCCCAAAGATCAACTGGCTATCCATTCACCTCCCCTCTTTTTATTCTATTTCACCCCAATATAGTTGCAGTTTAATTCCTTATCCAAATCAAACGCTACAGAAGGAGAGAGAGGAAGAAGCGTAGGAATACCATTTAAAAAGCCTAGGCACAGGTCGCTGTCCGCGGTGCTGAAACCAGTTCGTGACCTGCGGCGGTCGGCAGGTGGCGCCGTTCCACATTTGGAAAAGGTGAGGCGAACGAGGTGGCAGCAGCCAAAGTCTTCCCCAAACTGATTTCTCCAGCACACCTCAGAACAGGACGCCACGACATTAAACTCGACAAGCGGCCAATCTCTCCTGAATAGCCCTCTGCAATCTCAGAGAGCGCCTTGCGTCCCCTATTTATTCCAAGAGAGTACTCACCATGTTGACTTCCGAGACCATATCTATACTGGCAATCTCTATTCTCATGCCAACGTCAACGGGAGAGCCTGGAAACGGAAACAGGTGTTTGTTTTTAATGGCCAGCAGTCAAAAGGGTTGGAAGGTCAGGACTTCTGAGCCTCAAGTGCGTCCTGCACCTGTTCACGTGCTTAAACGTTGGTGTGCTCTTTTTCATGTCTGAAGAAGAGCTCTGTGAAATCTGAAAGCCTACCACCAGACCCCAGCAAAATCCTTTTATATAAGGACATCGATTTACTGAATCAATTTAGAGCCCACACGTTTGGAGCATGTCTATAGATGTCCGAATGTGTATATGAGGGGAGGGGAGGCAAGAGAAAAGAGAACGTGCCCATTTTGAGAGAAAGGAATTGGTTACCAAAGGGATCCCTTTCCCGGCTGATTAGAATTCTAAGCGGCCCTTGCCTCTGACCCTGCAGGGACCGGCACGCAGCCTGGTGATTTCCCCTTGTAAACAAATCCGAGGAGACTCACCTCCGAAGTCTGGCCTCAGGCGAATGTCGTATCCTTTGAGTAATTTGTCCACGGTCTCTTTCACGTAGGACATGTTGCTGGGCTCATTCAGGCTGAGGGAGAGGAAAAGGATTCAGAGCGAGCGCTTGAACGCACACACACAGGCACCGACACAGCCACAAGCAGGATCCCGACCAGCCTCCCAGCAGAGGAAGAAATCCACGGAGCTGAGCTCCCCGGAAGATGAGGTCCATCATTCAGCCCATCACATACACAGAGACACACAGACGCACACATACGTCCTCTCGCGCCCAAGCGCCAATCTCACCTCTTGGCATAGCAGACCATGGCTATCATCGCAGGGAAGAGCAAAATCCCCACGCGCTCCCGCGGCCGAGCTGCCCACATTCCTTCCTCCGGGTGGAGAGTTGCTGCCTCTTTCTCCCCCTTCCCTCTCCCCACCCCCTCCCGCGAAGATTCAAGGGATGTAACTTTCAATCCACAGGCAGAGCTGTGATGCCGGAGAGAGCAGCGCATGCGCCGAGCTGGCCCAGTCTCCGAAGGCACCTTTGCGCCTTGCCAGCAATGTCCGGCCAAGCGAGCAACAGCTGCGGCGGCGGGACCTTGGGGAGTTCCCTCGTCCTGCGCCCTGGGCGCACCCAGCGCTTTCCCCGCCTGTCTGGGCAGGGTGGTCCGGCTGGTTCCAAAGGGGAAAGCGAGCTCCCTATGGAGCGCCTCGGCTGCTAGAGGTCGCCGATTTCCGAAAAGCCACGGGGGCAAGGGCGGGGGGGAAGTTGTCCAATGGCAGCAGCCGCCCCCTCCCCAACCTTAACCCGCAGCCTCCTCCTTCCACATGCCATCATCGCCTCCCCTGCGCGCCCTCCAGGACCTCCCTTCCCGTAGCAAAGGGATGCCCAAGGAGGCAAGCACTTTGAACCGGCAGCGTTCAGGTGTGACCGTGAAAGGAGGATAAGAACATAGCAGACGCCACCCATTCACCCAGCGGAGAATCTAGCCTAGGACTGGCGGGAGGTGGGGCGCGTGGCAAAGGTCTTTAACTGCAGAGCCAGACCTTACTGTCAAAGCCAAGTCTAGTGGCAACGAGTAGGACTAACAGCATGACGCTCCCGCTTTTGTGTGGGGTTGTGTGCGCGCGCTTGCTTGCTTAGAGAAGCTCCAAATGAACCGTTTTTGGGTTTTTTCTTGCTCCAAGGGCTCTTGGTGGTTTCGTTTTCAGGGGAAGGATGAAGGGATGGAACACACTGGAGTTCCATTGATTCCAGCGGAAACTTAAGTCATGCCTAGCATGCCCCATTGGTTTTAATGGGACCGCAGGTCCACTCACTTTGCCTGGATCCAACCCAGAGAGTTTTGTTTCTGAGACAGGAGGAGACAAGACAATGAAGGGTTTCATGCGTTATAAATGGGAAGTTGTGGAAATGGGGGAAGGAGGGGGTCTTTCCAGAAGAGGGTTTGCAGTGGAGGGGGGCATGGGCGTTGCGAGGATTTATTTTAGGGGGGCAGGATTAATGTTAGGGGGCAGGGTTTATGTTGGGGGACAGTACCGAGTTATCTGCCATGCAATTTGTCAGTTAGTTACATATTTTTATTTATTTACTTGATTTAGAGGGGACAGCTGCCCCCCTGCCCCACTGGCTATGCCCATGGATTGCATTGGGACTGAAGGAGTATGGAGTGCCTTGTAGGAAGGTATGTGTGGAGGGGGAGTGGAGAACAGCAGGTAAGCTGCCACAGCTGGAGCAAATTCATGTTGTGATCTGGAGTGTGGGCTTTGGGGGGGGAATGGGGAAAGCGTAGGAGCCAAATCTAGGGGCCAAGGTCCCTTCGCTCCCCAAAATAAACTAATTGAGGGAGCTGGGCTGGAGTCCTCCCCAAAGTTAATGGACAGATGGTGTATATGCATGTTATGTACTGAGTTGAATAGGATTCAGAATGCAGCAGTCTGATTGGTCCTAGAACAATATGATTCAGAATACAGCAGTCTGATTGGCCCTAGAACAATAGGATTCAGCATGCAGCAGTCTGATTGGTCCTAGAACAATAGGGTCCAGAATGCAGCAGTCTGATTGGTCCACAGGGGCCACCCAATCCAGCTCCAGGTGGAAGTGAATCCGCAACCTGATTGGCCTACAGGTGAATCCCGGAATTAGCTAATCATGTGGCGCCCGTTGTGTAAATAATAGTGTAAATATAAAGCAGACAGTCTGGGGGAACTTCCATTCCTCCTCACCACTAAGAGCTGAATAAAGAGCATGATATCCACTTTGGGCTCCGAGTATATTTCAATGCACCACATCTTGTGATTGATTTATGCGGGGTGGGGCTTACCTCCTCTCCAATATTTTATTCAAGTTGGGTCCCTGGTGGGAAGGTGATCCCTTGGGAGGTTAAGGGAGTTTGCAGAGAGAGAGAACATTAAATACACACTGAAGATCACTCAACAGTAGGGCTGCAGCATGCAATTGATCAATTTGTTACATTAATCAATTAAAACCTTTTAATGAACTAAATCAGGTTGCAAGCTAGATATACATACAGTTTTATGTGATTTCTTTATTTTAAATATTCCTTCAGCTCCTGCTAATCAAAAAGGTGTGTGCGCAGAAAAGTGAGCATGAAATGCTTCTTCCAACCCTACTCAGAGTAGGCCCATTAAAAGGAGGGGCTGTTTCTGCTGAATGCTAAGTGTGCAGAAGATATACACCAAGAAAGTATGCTTCTCACTTCAGAATTCTTTCAACCCATCTGTCAATTTAATCAACCAATCAATTAAGTGACTTAAATAATATGATTAATTGGCTAAGATTTCTTGAATACAATGACAGCCCATTTGGACAGAGATTTGTTACTCTGTATCAGTTTATTTGAAAAAGGCCACTACACTCGTATGGCTAGTACTAAGAGCTTATAAAATGATCTGTAGCATCAAATTAAAGCCAGAAAATGGCAACATCCTGATAGAGACAAACTTGCTGTAAGCATCCCTCTGATACAGTGAAGCCTCATTCATAATTTGAGAAAAATGCTACGGCATTATACTAAGTAAAGAAATAACTATCTATTAGGAGGAACTTCTTAAAAAATAAAGAATCTAATAGCATACAATGTTTCTTTAATGAGCATTGAGGGCTAGTAGAGATCTGTTAAAATAACCATTGATGGCTGATGATTACATGATACTGACAACCCACTGGCTTAGGTGGAGGCTGGTGAGAAATTGTTTGCTGTTGAAGGAGACAGAAGTGTGAGTTTTGCAGCTGGCAAAGTTGGCAGATAACAGCTTGGAGGCAGGGGAGGTTGTCAATGCATGTTGCTTGCTTGTAGGAGTGAGGTTTAGGGATGATGCTACTTTAAAGACCAGTATCGGGGGTTTTTTGGAGATGTTTGCTTATATGAAATTGATATCACATCTAGCTTGACCCAGGGTGGCGGGGGAAGTAATTAGTATGCACACATATTATTATTTTAAAAGAGGAATAGCTGTGCTGAGGGCCCAAATAGGATCAGGGCCAGAAAGGGGCTTTAACCCTTTCCTACCACCATGGTGTCAATGAAAATTGCCCCACCTGAAACTACTGTTAGCCCAATGAGTGAAGTTTCCTTTGGCACAAACGTTTTTACTGACATTCAAATTTAATCGATAACTAAATTGACTAAAAATCGATGATTTGAAAAGTTTAAAATCCTTTAATTGAGTTTCAGCCTGATTTTTTAAAATTTTTATTAAGAAAAAATCTATCTACTTGGGGAACTGGGAGCACAAAATAGCTCCCACACATGGGAATATATGTATCAAGCCTGAAGGTGGTTTCAGATGAGCATTCGTGGCGGGGTGACAACAACTGCTTTAAAAAATCACATTGTTGAAGCTGCGTAGAGAGAAGCAGGAGTGTGAAGCCATTGGCCATGTGGTGAAACTGACCAGTCATCCATTCTGGCCATCTGGAAAGAAGTGGAAGCATCGAAATGCTTGCCTTATTGCTTGGCCAAAGTCTACAACCAATTGGCTCTCCATTAAAACAAGCCGCTGTTTCCAGAGTGAACTAGAAAGACAAGCCATTCAGCTAAGTTTTAATCAGCGGAAACCTACTGAAATGAATGAGCATGGCTAAATTATGTCCATTAATTCTAACAGGTCTACAGTGAGTAGAACTTAGTTGACTGCCACCCAATAAATTCATCGTACACCCAGTGGACTCTGTGTGGCTCTTATACTCTTTCCCTCCAGCTGTTGGGTTCATTTGCCCTTGCCCCCTTCACACTTGGTATTATCTTGATCACAGGTTGTCTGTACATGGTCAGAGAGACAGCAGTGACCCTGTATGTGCCAGCCATGGGGTGTTCTTCCAGGCAGATGTTATACATGCAGGTGTGGCTGAATACTGTTTCTTACGATTCCAAGGACGTTAGGCATTTCAGGCTTAGCCATGCGTCTGCAGCAGTTTTGCTTTGCGATATTGAAATACCAACCTATGTGACAGAGCTAGCATTGCCTGCTGCTTCTTTCCTGGTGGAAAAGTGTCCTTTTGTGTGCTTAAACATGCACGTCTTACTTACACCATTCAAAACTGACTCATGTTGCATTGAGGGCATTGAGAGCCAGTGTGGTGTAGTGGTTAAGAACGGTAGACTCATAATCTGGTGAACCGGGTTCGCTTCCCCGCTCCTCCACATGCAGCTGCTGGGTGACCTTGGGCTAGTGGCACTTCTCTGAAGTCTCTCAGCCCCACTCACCTCACAGAGTGTTTGTTGTGGGGGAGAAAGGGAAAAGGAGATTGTTAGCCGCTTTGAGACTCCTTCGGGTAGTGATGAAGTGGGATATCAAATCCAAACTCCTCCTCCTCCTCCTCCTCCTCCTCCTCCTCCTCCTCCTCCTCCTCCTCTTCTTCTTCTTCTTCTTCTTCTTCTTCTTCTTCTTCTTCTTCTTCTACACTTGAGGACAATATTGAAGGGAGGTAAAGGCAGTTTACAAAGAAAATGTGTGGAGTTTATACTCAGAAACTGGACTGGAAGGATTAAAGGCCTCTAATAAGAAAGAACATACATGAATTCTTGACATGAGTACCTGTCTCATAAAGACATACTCAATATAATGTGTCACATGTCTATATGTCATGGTGTTTGCTTCTTTAAAGATGGGGCATGGCCATAGCTGGACTGAGATGGTGCAAAGTAGACAAGGAAAAAGTGAGGGGCTACAAGATGAGGAGCAATTATACCTGCAAAGAAGTGCCTGCAACGTTCAGTCTCCAGGAGGAATGTGAGGAAGCCATAAAGGACTCTTCCACATGGCTTTTGAGAGCATGGAGGAAGAATGCATCCTTTGGAAAGGTTAATGTATTCTTCTGCTTCCAAACATTGGTGGAATACTAATGAAGAGGGAATAG